TAATTAATCAATTAATTAAATATTCGTCTAATTAAGCAAATTAATTATTCATGTTTATTTGATTTTAATTGATTTTAAAAGGTATTTAAAGACGGCCCTACGAAATCTTTTCAATAAATATTCCCTCCTAATAATAAGTAATTTCTGATCCCTCGGAATATTTATTATTAGGGGGGGAGGGGGGGCGTCGTTTATTATTAGGGGGGAAACTATTATTTCTCCGTCGGATTTCTCTTATAGATTTCTCTAATGAGATATTTTCTGTTGGGCCATTTCTCATATTTTAGGAAGAATAGAAAGATATGATTTATTAATCTCTATTATTTTGAAAGGATCATTTGGAGGTATTTTAGGAAGAAAGGAAAGATATGATTTATTAATATCTAAAAATTTCTCAGGAATGATATATATAATATTGATTATATATATAAAGATTTGGATATCTCGATTTATAGAGATTAATATGATTAAGATTTGAATAAGAGAATATTGCAGATAATGATGATTCATTATTTCAATATTTCGCATAATTTCTGAATATAAGATACTAAATATCGTTTTTAGAATTATATCATGAATAGATTATCGAATGAGAAAGAAGATAGATATTATGATAATTATTCGGAATAAGATTTGATAGATTTTCTGATAATCGTTCAGAAATATGAAATATGAGATTATAGGAAATCAGATCTATTAAAAATGGTCCGGAAGATGCAGAGATTGATAGGTCGTCATCTCTTTATATCATTGGTATAGATTTAAGAATTCTTGAAGAATAAATCAAAGAAATATAGGACTAATTCTTCGTTCAAATATAAGAATGAATAAGATTTTGATGCGTATGAGTCAAAATAAAAATCAAAATCGGAGAGGAAAGAAGGTCTTTTTTCTCCAAAGAATCTACGAATTCTAGAATTTTTTATAAATTCAAAATATATATACGAATTTATATTGAATGAGAAGATGAAGATATATGAAATTCTCATAGATAAATCAAATAATTATCTTCTCGAATAAATTATATATTTTCTATATTCAATATAAAGAATTAAAAAAAGATAATATTTCCGAAATATTTCGTTTCAAATTTATTTAGAATAGGCATTGGAATATCTTATAGAAAAATTATGTTCAATGATTGAGGCAAGGCATTCTGGATATATTCTTTCTTAAATAATCATAATTAAAAAAAAATAAATATTAGAAAAGAAATCGATATTTTTTTAGGAATCTTCTAATCTTAGGATTCAGAGATTATGAAATTAATGATATTCATAGAGAATTATAATATCAAGATTCTTAAGTCTAAATCCTAAATTGAATAGAATGACCGTATTCAAATGATTCTCTATCGTTATTCTGCTCGAATCCCTAATGTATATTAGATCTTCATATTCGTCATATATCTCTCAATATATTTGGATAATAGCTTCCAAAATATATTGAGCCTTCCGTAAATTCAAAAATAAAGATGAAAATGATCAAGAGATCATTATTCTGGGATCTAAGATTTAGGATTTAGGATATTTATAGATCTCTAGAATTCATCGATATTCGGATGGGCAATATCTCTCAAGACTGATTATTAATCTCATTTCTTGAATATCTATTTCGTCGAATTCCCAATATCTTCTTGAGATATATCTATTATAGAATGATCTTATGCCTTTGAATTTTAAATCCTATATTACTTCGTATTATTCATATTTAGAGATTACTTCTCATAATAAGATGAGATTATCTATATTCCAAAAATCAGAAATATAATTTTATATTCTTCTTTATCATTCATTTCTGACCAATATTTATCTTTATCTATATTTTTTGAAACCTAAATCCCAACATTCCTTCTCCTTCTTGAATTTCTCCCAAATGATCGTATGAATGGGATCTATTTATTTGATCCTACCGCGAGATTTACGATTCAGGGCACCTTTTAAATCATTCAATAAGCTCTTCAGAATCTTAAGATTAATGGTCCAAGGTCCTTTCTATATTAATATAGATATTCATTCAAGATTCTGATAAGAAGAAATTCAGAATCCAATAATCTATCAAAGAAATTTCCGATAGATGCATGATGGCGTTCTAAATAAGATCTATATTCTAAGATTTAAATATAAAATCGAGAGATTATCAAATTAATATAGAAATCATTATTAAGAATATCTAATTAGTCTATATGAATATCATTCAAAATTTATCATATCCGATAATTTTATAGTTCATCTATTGAAGATATATATCATTTTTCAATATTCTCCGCCTTCTATTCCTGCGACGAATATTATCATTATCCTCATAATCAAGAGTAGAAATCTAAATCTTCGATAACTAAGATAATTAGACAGAAAATCAATTCAAATAAAATGAAGATCCCTAATAATACGATCTCATCAATATATATAATTCAGAAAATATATCATATCTATATTCCTAATCTCATTTAATTTAATTATATCTTCGATAGAAAATTCCGTTAATGCAATCTATCTTTATATCAAATTATATAATTTGCAAATTCAATCTTCCCGATTCTTCCTTTCATAATCATATTTAGAAATTCAAATTCTAAATCCCTAAAGCCGAATCCCTGTATCCTAGAAATAATATATCATTCGAAGAATCCATCTGTGTCAAGCTCTCATATAAGATATTGCCGCATCTATATAATATTAATGCAATTATCAATCTATATAGTCCCGGCAATTTTCAATTCTCGTGCCAATTAGTTTCCTATGATTTCCTACGCAAGCTCCAAGTAATAATGCTATTAGATCTCGCCGATCGGTCTTGTGATAGCCATTGAAAATCTCCAAATTTAGGATTTAAGTTTTCGCGCCTCTAAATCGAGACGCTCTTAAATACAAACGGGTCCAACTCTACAGCCATTTTGGATGCATTGCCGCAGCGAGGGCTCTCGAAAAAGATGTAGGTTGCCAATTCGAGCACAAGAGCTATATGAGAGATAAGTTCACGCAAGATTCATTTGCCCCCCCAACCCTCCCCGCAGTCGTTTTGAAGGTAAGGGTGATACTAGGTCTGCCAACGGCCGCGCCATTTTAGTAAAACATATTTCTTTCAAATCATTTGACTATTTCCAATATAGTTCAAGCTACCAAAATAAATCTATTAGTCGTCAAGCATATTGCATTGAAATTTCTGATGCCCTCCTCCGCCTCCTCCGCTCTTTTTTCATTCAGAGACGGGCATGCGCCCCAGAGGAACATCCAGCGCATCGCTTGAGCGCCGTCCTGGCAGGACAGAGCAGAGGGCTGAGAGGGCTGAGACTTTTGGGGTTTTAATTAGTCCGGAGTTCAGTGAGGGTTTTGTGAATATGGGTTTTTCATAGCTACTTTTTCCTCTGGGCTTGAGGGCTTTTTAGTGTCGAGGCCTCGAAGCTGGGAGGGCTTAGAAAGACGTGCGTTAGGGACTCTGCAAGCAAGGAGCAGACCTTAACCCAGCATCCTACATCTCCCTTTGAAGAAGCCCAGTACCAGGACCCAGCGTCAATTGCCGGGAATACAAAAAGCCTGCGAGCCCTCAAACATCAACACCCAAAAAAGGTCTGTAAGAGTTGCGAGAGGTGTTTAAGTGGATGTCGCAAAGTAAGGGGATTTATGAACATTCAATGGAAGGTCAAAGGAAGTATAGATCAAACAGAGGGAATGATAAGCCATCTCTGAGCGTCTCTGAACATGTCTAGACTGGGCTTCTGTGGCACTAAAATGGTTGAGGGTTTATAGCTCCCTGAATCTTCTGGGCTGTTTCCTCGCAAACATGTTTGGGGCCGCTCCCACAGGCTTTTGGGGCTGTCATGGCGCTGTCCCAAACTATTTCTGGGACCCGCTCGCACTGCGCTTCTCGTGGTTGAAGCACAGATAGATGAGGCCCAGAGCTTTGGCGCAACGGGTAGGGTTTAGGGTTGCTTGGGCTTTGACAAAAACAGACGTCTTTGAAATCTTACAACACCTGAATCCTGTAGATCCTATGCAATATGTTATCCATGATGAACTGGCAGCGTGCCTGCTCCACTGTCTGGCAAGAAACCTGTGGGGTCAGAATCAGGACCAGATAAACTCTGTAGGAATATCTTCGGGGGCTCGCTCAGGTTGAGTTTTCTGGGATGAGGGTTTGGGGCTGAAGGCTTCCCCCCTAAACCCGAATCGCGCGAAGACTTGCCCGAGGGTCGGTCAGAACGCCGACGGCATGGTGAGTTTGCGGTGGTTTAATTCTGAGCCTTCCCTGGAACCCTCCCAACAATCACTGTGAGCTGTTTCTTGGAAGGCTTATCATAGCAAAACCTGAAAATGATTTCAAGACATCTGTAGGATCTAGGGTCTAGCCCTGAACCCTCAATCCCGGGTTTAGTAGTGATTCCGTCGCCAAGTGGAAGGCTACTCCAACTGGAATGAGAACCTGGTCCATCAGTATTTCTGTTCTTGACACAGCGAGACGAGCCCCTAAACCCAAAACCTCCAAGTGCATGACTAAATTAGCCAGCAAAGCTATAGGATCCCTTCAAACCTTCTCGAAACCACTCTGCAGATTTCCAGGACGTGCAGGTGAATGAGGTGGAGGTGGGAGTTGAATTAGTGGTGTCTGTCGAGTGGACAGCTCATGCTATCCACTTGCCAACGCTTGCTATGAACTCCTGTGTTTAATATTCATTTCTCCAATCGGAACTCTTTATAGGCTTAAGCTCAAGTACCTTGGTACCCAGTATACCATACTACAATAAGGGCGCTCTTTTCCAATTGGCTAAACATGTTGAAGAATGTTGAAGAATCAATTGTATAAAGGAACCCAGAACCCAACAAGAATCAAAGGACACCACTGACCCAACTAGGTGCTCCCCTAAGACCTAAACCCTAAACCCTAAATCCCGAACACCTAAACCCGAAATCCCTAAAACCCGAAACCCTAAAATCCCCTAGACCCCAAAATCCCTGAACCCTGAATCCCTAATCCCTAAACCCCTAATCCTAAATCCCTAAATCCCCAAATCCTATAAATCCCTAAATCCCTAAGCCGTAATATCCTAAGTCCCTAAAGCCCTAGATCCCTAAACCCCTCAATCTCTAACCCCCTAAACCCCTGAATCCCTAAACACCAAAACCCGAAACCCTTAACCCCTAATCCCCTAAACGACTTATCCCTAAACCCATAAATCCTAAATCCCTAAATCCCCAAATCCTATAAATCCCTGAATCCTAAATCCCTAATTCCCCTGAGGCATTTCTCAAACAAACCCTAATATAATCCCTGTAGCTTCCATGTTTCTTTTTCATTATTCCCATATAACCCCATATAACCCTTATGTACCCTCTATAAACTACCCTATAAGCCCGGTTTCCATTTCATTTTCCATTTTCTTCAAACCCAGGTCTGCCGAATAACTGGGAGCCAAAGGCATCCGGGCCTGCTGGAAATTCAAAGCACGCTTGGGGGCCCCAGGAAGACGGTAGGGGTTTTAGGGGATTAGGGGTTTAGGGGGGTAGGGTTTCCCAATCTCACCAACCCCACCAACCCCCTTTCCCTCGCCCATGAACAGCATCCGAACCCACAACTCGAAACCTAAGACAACCTGAACCCTAAAACCGCGTCAATAGTATCACAAATTATGAAGGCAACTCCCCAATTGCCCTATATAAACTCAGTTTCCATATCACTGTCCATCTTCGATTCGATTTCTTTCTCAGCTGTTACAACCTTAATGTCTAATCCCTCTCTCACTCTCTCTCTATATATATATATAGCTACACATCTCTCTCTGTCCCTGTAACTGCTTCAAAGGGACCCTGTACTTCCGCGTTCTTTTTCATTGTCTTTTGCTGGTTATTACCAGAGCTGGCGCAATAACCCCTAAACTGCCCTAAACCCCACACAATCCCCAGACGATCCGAATATGTCCCAACAAAATCCCCATATCGACCCTAGACCCTAATCATCCCTAATTCCTTTATGACCCCTGTGTATTCCCCATAACCTTCGCAACCGGCCTGCTGCACGAGCAACAATGATTGCGAAAGCCCAGCTTGGAATTGCCAACAAGCCTGGCTAAAGATGAGATCCGTTTAAAGCTAGGGGATTCAATAGGGATGTATATCTCGGGCAATACTGGGCTGTATTGGAATATGAGAGGATATACAAGAAGAACATGGACAATGCAACGCAAGCTGGAATCATACTGCAAAGGTTTTGGGTTTGGTGACTTTGTCCACACATGGGGACCCTAAGAGATTTTAGGGATGTGGGATTTTGTGAGGTGTTGGGTAGGCAAGTTACCAAGCGACTAGTGTTATATGCTACAAAAGTAGTCGATATAACGGACTATAGGAGACTAAACCCTAAACTCCAAAACCCTAAACCATAAACCCCCAAACCCGTAAACCCTAATATCTGGTGATAGCCTAGATCTGCACTGAGGTCTCTCTCCCAAATGTTGTTGACAAGGCCCTCATTCGTGTGGGATCCGGCAAAGGAGTTTCGACAGACGTAATCAGTTATGTGGTAGTGTGATCGGATTATTTTTAGGTAAAATGGCCATTTGTTAAAGTTCCCTTTCCTGAATTTTCTCTTGTAGACCTACACCCTAAACCCTGAACCCTAAACTCTAGACCCTAAACCCAAACCAAAGACCCCAAACCACACACTCTAAATAATTTCCCCCGAAGGACCTTGAGATCAACCCCATATTTGAAGTCACGCCTTCGAGGTCGCAGCTCAAGGTTCCACATGAGGAATGCCCTAAACCCTAAAGTTCAGGGTTTGACCCTAACTCTAACAACCTAAAGCCTATTATATACTAACCCCAATGACCTGGGGGTGTCCAAAACTCAGGGGTCGCTATCTGCTAAGTTTCGGGCTCAAGCTTCCGGCGTTGCAGTATGGCGGGGCCCTAAGCCCAAAATCCTCGGCATTATAGTGTAGTGGGGTCCATATTGAGCCCCACCAGTTACATGGTAGTTTCCCAAAACAAGGGGACCCCAATACAGACCCCAAAATACTATAATCCTTATTATGGGGACCTCCAAAAAGGTACCCCCTAATTTGGGAAACCCCCACATCATGAAAGCTTATAGGGCTCAGGGTCTAGTGTCTTAAGGCCCTGTTTAATGGCGAGGTGAGGGGACCCAGCTAAACCCAGCTTGTTGATAAGTTAGGGTTTGGGGTTTAGGGTTTGGGGTTTAGTATTTAGGGTTTGGGGTTGGTTTAGGAAGTTCACTGACCCAGGTATGAAGCCTTTGCAATGAACCCTCAGCCCTGAATGCTGATGCTGAAGCTCACATCATGGCCCCTGCAAAAGTCACAAAGGATGCGTGGCTGAAATATGCGATCCCGGAACTTGAAACCCTCACCGCGTGATGCCCACAAGGACTCACAACCTTGGTTTAGGGTTTAGGGGGTTATAGGATGTAGATCTAAATTCCCGCGACTCCAAATCCGAAGCCCTACTGGTGGTTTTTAGGTGATGACGGACTGGATTCATGATGGTCCCGATACTCTCCAATAATGGTCCTATGACCCTTCCCTCAGTCCCTACTAAACTCCAGTACGCTAAACAGCTGGGACTGCTTAGGGCCGTGATGGTGTAGCACACCATGATGGGAAGCGGGGGGCGCGCTGTCCAGCCTGTTGCGAAACTGCTATAGGTTTTAGGGCACAGGGTACAGGGTTTAGGCTATGTTTCGGGTTTAGGAGGGTTCAGTGTTAACTCAAGACCCCAAAAGCGCAGGGGCAAGCCCAGACACCCAAATACCCTTAAGTAGGTTCTGTGCCGGTCCTATTTGTGGCATTTGGGCTCTATCGAGCTACTTGGGGGTCTAGAAAAAGTTTAAGAGAAGACTTGCTAGTTCCTCATCCGGATCATCTGAACACTTGCATCATCCAGGCTTTACCCTCCCTAAACCCTAAGCCCTATATAGGCATTCTTTGCGGTTCCAGGCCAGCTATGAAGATGTCACCTTGGAATCAAAGTCTAGGTTGCAATGTTCAGGGGCCAAGGGAGTGCAGTGTATGACTTCGAATTTTGACCGCCAACTTGAGGGGAATTCCTAGCCTCAAAATCACACATGCAAGTGCGCATGATCCCGATGAAGGATGAAGAAGATGGGTTCCAGAAACCTTTTGACTCCTGAAGCCATACCTGTCACTGCAGGCACATACAAAGAACGATTCCGACACTTCGTCCCCAATCAAAACCCCAAATCTTAACGCCTACCTGGATACCAAACCCCTAAACCCCAGACCCTAAACCTTAAACCCCTTAACCCTGTGCCTGCAAGACCGGCCCACAAAGCAAGGAAGCTGCATCCATCCAACACCAGAACGGTACCACAGTAGCTGTTGAAGCGCCTCTCAGGCTTTCTGGGTTCAGGGTTTGGGTTCAGGGTAACCTAAAAACCACCATCAAAGTGAAGTTGTGTCAGGTCGTTCCTACTTTGCCCAGATTATGTCCCTCCTCGTTTGGTGCTGGGAGATGTTAGGGTGCTGTCAGTCCAGCTGCCGCGCAGCCGTGTGGAGATTTGCCACAAGTAAGGGGCCCGAAAGTAAGGGGTGCCTTCTTGGAACCCTCATAACCAGGATATACCAGGATTACAGCGTTTTTAGGTTTCTATTGGGCATCCGTAGCTGCGGAAAGCCCTAGACTCTATACTGGAAGCCCATGTCTTCCTTTTTGCGTGGATTGTCTGTAATGCACCGGTGAGCCTGCGATTGGTCCTGCACTGTCAGCTCCCTCAGAAGGGTGACTCCAACAGTTCTTGTTGTGCCAGTAACTGCTGCTTGTGGAGCTTGAGGTCGGAGAGGTCTGTGTTGAGGAGTTCAAGCCAAGTTACCATAATATGTCAAAAAACAAGGTTTTGTTCATAAAGGTAAGCTGAGTTAAGCTCGCTGACAACCACCAGACCTTGAAATCTCTTTTCAGGAGCCCAAGAACGTAAACAAACAAATGGACAGGGCTATCCCATTAAAATTTCCTTATAACCAATCCCAAAGGGATAGGGATCTCGCCCTTGTGCTTCGTATCTCTTTTTGTTCCTACTCGTCCTTAAGAACCAAACCCTGAGCTTACCCCAAAACCCTAGACCCATGGCAACCACCCCAAACCAAAAACCAACAGCAACCCTCACCTTAACACCTAAATGGCATTTTCCATTAACAGGGGGACCGGGGGACCCAAATATAGACCCATAAATACTTTAACCCCTGCGTGTTGGGGACCCCCGAAATACCCCTACTCTTCCGAAACACTAATCCCTATGAACCAATATATCATTCCAGCATCCACTTCATTTTGAACGTTCTGTTGCATTTGACTTTCCATCATTGAGGGGCAATATCCTGAAAACTTTAGGCCTAAACCCTGTGTATCCTCGTATATCCCCGATATTACCCAACCAATCCCTGAATCCTAACCCTGAACCATCGGAGGGACCCCTAATTTTCGGCCCCCCGCCCCACGTACCAGCAGCCTAGAAGTTGCCTGCGATGGCACGGCACCCTGTAAATACCAGCCTTGGGACAAGGTTTGTTGGGTTTTAGTTAGGGTTTAACGTCTCGGGTTACTCACCCTGTATATTATGGTCAAATGATATACGCCCCGCTATACCTAACTGTCAGTGGATGGGGGCAGTACATGAATTGATGTTTAGGTCTTACGTTTTCCGTTTATGGGGGTATTATCGACTATACCCTACAACCCAACCCTTAAGCCTAAATTCTGAAGCATTGGTGTCTTACCGGGAGCCTATGGGCCCTATGCGAGATGCACAGCTATACGCGATTGGTAGGGTGTAGGATTCCGAGTGTTCTGAAAAATTAGATGTGCCCTTTTCGAGGTTGTACAACAAGGGCCACAAATCGCACTTTGGGATGCATCTAGGCGAATTTGGCAAATTCCATACAGCGAGAGAGCTGCTTGCAATATCATGGGAGAGGTTGTTGGCGATAGCATGTTTGACTTTGAGTTTAGGCTCTAGTTCCAACCGTACACAAAACCCCAAACCCGAAACAGTAAACCCCAAAACCTTACTCCCTGAACCCTTAGCCTGCAACCTACACGAGTAGCACTTTTTACGAGTTGTGCACTACCCCTCTCTAAGCCCTTCCTGGACAAGCAAACCTAAACTCAACTTAGGACGCCCACCTACGATGGTGGCCGGTGCTTGCACCCCTCCCTCCATGGCGACAGGTCGACCTAACTGGTCCTGCCTCAGCACAACCCACGCACGGGGTCGGATCGGCCGATTCTCCACACCGGAAGCCTGGCTGAATCCAGAAACCCAGCCTCCCAATGCAGGCGTCCTCCAGGCGCCTAAAGACGTCCGTGGAGTCCCCAGAAGGGACTACGGGCCTTGTCCGGAGCAGGCCTCCCAACTCCCAATTTTCAAAAGCGCCCAGAAACCTTATGTTTAAGAGGGTGTCAGCCATGAGCCTTCAAGGCTCCCTTCAGTACAACGACAATAGAACACGAAGCTGACGCTGTATTGTTGACCAAGACGGATGTGATTGAGATTAGGTCCGAACCCTACAAGGACTAGGTTTGGGTGGCTTGGCAACCTCAGACGGCGTTGGGTGGGAGGGAATGTTTTAGATGGCCTTGCGCAGGCGCGAGTCCGGCCATGACAGCAACTTGCAAGCGGCAACGCCGTCAACTTGCAGATCGTCTATAATATCGTCCACGTAACCTCACAGCAAAACCCACACCCCAAACCCTAAGCCCTAACCCCTGAACCCTAAGCCCTAACCCCTGAACCCTAAACCCACACCCT